GTATCAATGATTTTTAACTGTACTTTTTGTTTTCTACATGATTTAAGAGATTATTACATTAAAAAAATAACCCTGATTATTAGTATTCAAACTAATATTACTGTAACTTTGGTTTGTAACTCTAAATTTTGTTTTCTACATAATTTAAGAGACTAACAAATTTAAAAGAATTATTAGTTTATGTTTTGGGGCACACAATGTATATAGATGTAATTCAGTGACATTAACAACCAAAAGGCGTAGGGACAAGGATGCAAAGGAACAAAGTTTTGTATGTTATGGAGGTTAAGCTGATATAAATTAAAATTAGAGGGTTATAACTTTAGGATGTTAAACGTAACCTCATGGTAACCACAAAAGGAAATAAGAGAGAACCAAGATGGTGGTGTAGGCAAATGCCTGTACTTGCTGCATCCCACAACCACATCAAAATTACAACTAAAATAAAGAATAACCATCATCCAGAACCACCAGGAAGCTGGCTGAATGGAAGTCCTACAACTAGATAAGTAAAGAAGAAAGCATACTGAGACTGGTAGGAGGTGCAGAGGTGCTGAACAAGCTGGTCTGGCTCCCACTTGTGCCATTTTTTTAATTGGGAGGGAGATCATCTCTGTGAAGGCTGCCCAGAGGAGCAAAGGGTCCCAATCCCACACCAGATGAACAGCCCAGGTCCCAGAGCTGGGAAAAGAAGTCCCTATGGGTAGTAAGAACTACAGGCCGTAAAAAGCAGTGCGGATTCGGGCTGAGTGACACACAGGCTGCTGGAGACCCAACTGCTCCTCTTATAAGGCCGATTGAACTTACAAGCTCCTGCTTCCTCTGAGCTCGAGTGCCCGGCGAGGCTCTGGGGAACCCAGACACATACGAGGAGAAACTGGACTGTCTGGCATCAGGGCAGGAACTCAGTGTTGGCTTTCTTCCAGACAGAGGTGCTCACAGCGGTCATTGTTACTATGCTTGGACCTGCCCGGTTGCAGGGCTGACTGGCAGCCATTTCTGTTTGCTCTCCCCTGGTGATTCCCTGAGATCCTGCCCCACCCAATTTACAACCCCACCCAAGCTGTGGGCAGCAGCTTTTTCATATGAATGGCCTGTCCTTTCTCAGGCTAAAAACCTATCAAACAAGCTGCAGCTGGGTCAGGGAGCCCCAAAGCTACCAATAAAAAGCCTAAGACCCAGCACCAGCCTGCATTGCTTCACAGCCAGGCCTCATCTGGGCACTTCCAAACCCGATACAAAGAGGAGGAATCTGAAGATCTCTCTGTAGCTCCTGCTGGGTGGCCCCAGGCAGTGGCTGACTTTGCACCTCTCTGGAGACCCAAGAGCCAGTGTACCTAGTGGTCAATGTGAGACCATACGAGATTACAACTCTTCACATCCATAAGCTACACACTCAAGGGGCAGATTCAGTGAGCACCAAAGCCCCATTAAAGCAAGTCCTGCTCCATAAGGTTGTCTCCTACACAGCAGCTCTCCCACTGTAGTTGCAGCTGGTCCCTACAGCCAATTGGCCTGAAGGTCAATTCCTCCCAGTGACACCAACAGCAATCAAGTCTCAACTACAACAAGACTGTGCTCACAGCCCACAAAGGGGTGCACCTAGAGCTCCCAGCTCAGGTGATTGAGGAGGCTGAGCCACTGGGCCCTATAGGACACCTACTACACAAAGCCACTCTATCAACTCAAGCAGACTTAGCAGCTCCACCCAATACATAGAAACAAACACAGGGAAGCAACCAAAATGTGGAGACAAAGAAACATGTTACAAATGAAAGAAATAGAAGAAAGCAAAAAAAACTGGATATAGAGTTCAAAATCACAGTTATAAGGTTATCAAGAATCTTCCAGGAATTTCCAAGGGACTTAGTGAGACTTTCAAGGAGCTTAGTGAGAATGACAAAAAAAAAAAAAAAAAAAAAAAAAAAAAGGAAAAGGACCAGTTAGAAATTAAGCATACACTGACTGAAATAAAGAATAATATACAGAAATTCAACAGTAGACTAGAGGATCCTGAGAATCAATGATTTGAAATATGAAGAAGCAAAAAACACCCAACCAGAAGAGCAAAAAGAAAAAAGAATCCAAAAATATGAAGATAGTGTAAGAAGCCTCTGGGACAACTTCAAGTGTACCAACATCTGAATTATGGGGGTGCCAGAAGAAGAGAGAGAGCAAGATATTGAAAACCTATTTGAAGAAATAATGACAGAAAACTTCCCATACCTGGTGAAAGAAATAGACTTAAAGTCCAAGAAGCATAGAGAACCCCAAACAAGAGGAACCCAAAGAGGACCACACCAAGACACATCATAATTAAAATGCCAAGGGCACAAGACAAAGAGTGAATCTTAAAAACAGCAAGAGCAAAACAACAATGAGGTACCATCTCACACCTGTCAGAATGGCTATCATCAACAAATGACAAGTGCTGGAGAGGATGTGGAGAAAAAGGAACACTCGTGCACTGCTGGTGGGGATGCAGACTGGTGCAGCCACTGTGGAGAACAGTATGGAGTTTCCTCAAAAAGTTAAAAATGGAACTCCCATTTGACCCAGTGATCCCACTTCTAGGAATATTTCCCAAGAAAACAGAAACACCAATCAGAAAGGATATATGCACCCCTATGTTCATAGCAGCACAATTTACCATAGCTAAGATCTGGAAACAGCCTAAGTGCCCATCAGCAGATGAATGGATTAGAAAACTGTGGTACATCTACACAATGGAATACTACGCTGCTGTAAAAAGAAGGAATTCTTACCATTTGCAACAGCATGGATGGAACTGGAGAGCATTATGCTAAGTGAAATAAGCTAGTCAATGAAAGAAAAATACCACATGATCTCACTCATTTATGGATAATTAAGACCATTATAAACTGATGAACAAAAATAGATACAGAGGCAGAGCAACATAGAATAGACTGTCAAACTACAGTGGGAAGGCTGGGGAGAGTTGGGGGGGGTGGGTAAGAGATCAACCGAAGGACTTGTATGCATGCATATAAGCATAACCAATGGACACAAGACACTGGGGGGTATGGGAGGCCAGGGAAAGGTCAAGGGGAGAAAAAAAAAGGAGACATATATAAAACTCTTTGTAATACTTAAAGCAATAAAACAATTAAAAAAAAACACAAAAAACCGCAAGAGGAAAGCAGTTAGTTACCTACAAAGGAATGCCCATACAACTGTCATCTGATTTCTCAACAGAAACTATGCAGGCCAGAAGGGAGTGGCAAGAAATATTTAAAGTGATGAATACCAAGAACCTACAATCAAGATTACTCTACCCAGCAAAGCTATCATTTAGAATTGAAGGTCAGATAAAGAGCTTCACAGACAAGAAAAAGCTAAAGGAGTTCATTACCACCAAACCAGTATTATATGAAGTGCTGAAGGGTATTCTTTAAGAAGAGGAAGAAGAAGAAGAAAAAGGCAAAGATAAAAAATATGAACAACAAGGTGGCAACAAATACATATCTATCAACAACTGAATCTAAAAAATCAAACAAATAAAAAAATCTGATGAACAGAATAAACTGGTGAATGGAATAGAATAAGGGGCATGGAAATGGAACAGACTGACAATTCTCAGAGGGAAGGGGTTGTGTGAGGGTGCCGGAAGAGATTAGACAAAGATCTTATAGGCATGTATGCATTACCTACGGACACAGATGATAGGGTGGCAAGGGCCTGGGGCAGGGTGGGAACCAGGTGGAGGGGAGATATGGGGGGAAAAAAGATAGACCTCTGTAATAATCTCAACAATAAAGGTTATTTTTTAAAAAATGGGGGGGGGGGAGAATAAGAAAGAAATGAAAACATTTCACTTCAACAGATCAACTAAACACAAAAGATGCTAATGCAAGAAATGATGGGGGTTAAGCTATAAAGCATAAACAAACAAATAGCACAATAACAGAAATAAGTCTCTCCTTACCAGTAGTTACTTTATTTTTATTTTTTTCCTTATTGATTAAGGTATTACATATGTATCCTTATTTCACTTAACATAATGCTCTCTAGTTCCATCCATGCTGTTGCAAATGGTAAGAATTCCTTCTACCAGTAGTTACTTTAAATGTAAATGGATTAAACCCTCTAGTCAAAAGACAGAAATTGGTAGAATGGATAAAAACATATGATCCAATGACATGCTGTCTACAAGAGACTCACTTGAGATCCAAAGACACAAATAGGTGGAAAGTGAAAGGATGGAAAAAGATATTCTATGAAAAGAGTAACCAAAAGAGAGCAGGGGTGACTACACTGACATCAGACTAACTAGATTTTAAATCAAAAGAGTTTACAAGTGTTTATAAGAGCCCTAGCTGGTTTGGCTCAGTGGTTAGAGTGTCAGCCCTCAGACTGAAGGGTCCCAGGTTTGATTCCAGTCAAGGCTCAATTCCTGCCCTACATGCAGTGGGCAACCAATTGATGTGGCAATTTAGATAAGAAAAAAACACAGTTTTACTAGAGGATCTAAAGAAAGCCCTCAACAATACCCACATTAACGTGACTTCAATCAAAATCTCATCTGTCTTTTTCCCCCTTTAGTTTTGACATTTAGAAGTATAAAAGAGTGAGAACAGCCAGAAGGACTCAGAAGTATAAGTGGCCTAGCCCTGGCCTATTTCTAATGTTCCCAGATTAGTTCATCTACCTCAAATTGGTTACACTCAACTCTCCAACACCACTATGAACCAAATGGCTGGGAAATGCTATTTTCCTTGTTGCTACACTTTGTTTAGCATTTTCCAGGTGAAAAGGTTCATCCTGAGTTAAAATGCCTGGAACCCCAATGCAAATTCAAGGTTGGGGAGTGCGCTGGGGTCTTGGGGCTGTAGGCAACAAATCCTCCTTTTAAGTGAATAACATTGAGGCCCAGAGAACACAGGGCTGGAAGGCATAGTTGGACCTGGTTTAATGAGCTGCTACACCCAAAGCAGTAGGTGTGGCTTCTGCCCAGCCCTGAGTCCTGTTTTCTCTTCTAGACCCATGGAGGAAGGATGGCCAACCCCCACCCCTTGAGTTCCTAAGGCCCTGCTGGAGGAGCTGCCGTGGGTGGGCCATGGGCTGGACATCCTGCCCACTACAGGTGAGAAGAGGGGTGAGATGGAGGTGGCTCTGGGTCCTCAAGTATCTATCTTAGCTAAGGGAGGGATATACAGGGGGGTGGGAGGTGGGAGGTTGGGGGGCAGATACACAGAGGAAAAGGAATGTGAGTGGGTGGGACTCAGACATGGTTTGCCTCTTAGCACCTCTGCGTCACTATCCCCAGCAGAAACAGTGCTGCCTGTGGGTCAGGAGCCCCTGCTCTTCCAGGAGACCCCAGGAAACAGAGTAAGAAACGTAGCTATACCACTGCTCTGAGAACCAACTTTCCCTTCTCTTTAGACTCCTCCATTTTTTCTTTGTTTCTTTTTTAATCACTAGACTTTCGTTATTAGGGCAGTTTTAGGTTTACAGACAAATTGAGAGAAAGATTAAGTACAGAGATTTGCATATACCCCCTGCCCCCCATGTGCACCCTCCCCTACTGTGGACATCCCCACCAGAGTGGCACTTTTTACAGCAGGTGAACCTACACTGGCACATCATTATCACCCCGAGTCCACGGGTTACATGAGGGTTCACTCTTGGTGCTGTGCATTCCCTGTGCTTGGACAAATGTATAATGACGTGAACCCACCACCGTAGTATATCACTCAGAGTAGATTCGCTGCCCTAAAAATTCTCTGTGCTCCACCCACTCATCCCTCCCTCCTCACCCCAAGCCCCTGGCAACCATTGATCTTTTCACTGTTTCCATCGTTTTGCCTTTTCCAGAATAACACAGAGTGGAAGTCATACAGTATGTAGCCTTTCCAGATTGGCTTCTTTCATTCTTCCCTTCTGTGAGTGGACCTACTCATAACCGCATTGCCGTTTCCAGGTTACAAATGACACCCCGGCACAGAGGGCTCAGGCAGCCTGCCCAGGGTCACACAACCAGTAAGTGGCGGAGCTCACGCTCGAGCTTGGGCCTGGGTTCTTATCCATTTGGTCCCCTGCATCTGATCAATGCTTGTGGCATTAGGAACGATTCTCAGCATCCAGGAACAACCAGCCCCTCCAACCTCCTCCTCGAGGTCAGACTGTGGGCCACTAGCTGGGAGAGGAGAAAGGGTGGGTCCCCAAAGGGTGAGTCCCCACACATCCTTGGAGGCTCCTTACCTGTCCCCGGCCGCTGGGCAGGGAGACAGCAGGCAGCAGGTTCAGGCTTTCTCTTCACAGCTCCTGGCAGCAATCCTGGACTCCATGAGGAAGCAGGAGATGCGGATGGGTGGGGAGGCTGGCCAGGGCCATGGTGCTGGCTCCCCGGCAGAGCAGGTGAAAGCCCTCATGGACCTGCTGTCCGGGAAAGGCTGTCAGGGCTCCCAGGCCCCACAGACCCCTGACAGGACACCCGACTCTCCACGGGGGCCTCATGGCAATGGTAGGCAGATGGAGGGGTGTCCCTAAGCCTTTTCCCCTCCTCTCCTTTCACCCCCCCCCCGCCATTCTACCTCCTGCCCCTGCCTTTCATCTGCCTCTCCGCTTTCCTTCTTTACACCCGCCCTCCCCAATCCTGAGCTCTGACCTCCATCCACAGACTCGCGGATACAGAGACACCAAGAGGCCCTTCTGAGCAGGGCAGGAGGCAGCCTGGAGCTGGGTGGCCCCTCACCCAGGCTAACCAACCTCCTGCTAGTGGAAGGCCTGATGGACTTGCAGCTGAGGGAACACGACTTCACCCAGGTGGAGGCCACACGTGGGGCCTGGCGCTCAGCCAGGACCATCGCCCTGAACAGGCTCTTCCTGCCTCTGTCGCGGGTGTCCATCCCTCCCCGCATCTCCATCACCATTGGGGTGGCTGGTGTGGGCAAGACCACCCTGGTGAGGCACTTTGTCTGCCTCTGGGCCCGGGGGCAGATTGGCAAGGACTTTTCCCTGGTGCTGCCTTTGACGTTCCGGGATCTCAACACCCATGAAAAGCTGTCCGCAGACAGACTCATTCGCTCCATCTTTCCACACGTCGGGGAGTCTGGCCTGGAAGTGGCAGCCCTGGCCAAAGTGCTCCTTATCCTGGACGGCCTGGATGAGTGTAAGACTCCTCTGGACTTCTCCAACACCGTGGCCTGCACGGACCCCAAGAAGGAGATACAGGTGGACCACCTGATCACCAACATCATCCGGGGCAACCTCTTCCCGGAAGTTTCTGTCTGGGTCACCTCCCGTCCCAGCGCAGCTGGCCAGATCCCAGGGGGCCTGGTGGACCGGATGACTGAGATCCGGGGCTTTAATGAAGAGGAGATCAAACTGTGTCTGGAGCAGATGTTCCCCGAGGACCAGGTCCTCTTGGACTGGGTCCTGAGCCAGGTTCGGGCCCACAGGGCCCTGTACCTGATGTGCACCGTCCCGGCCTTCTGCCGGCTGGCGGGGTTAGCCCTGGGCCACTTGTGCCGCCACAGGCAGGGGCCCCAGGACACAGAGCTGTGGCCTCCAAGGACCCTGTGTGAGCTCTACTCTTGGTACTTCCGGATGGCCCTGGGTGGGGAGGGGCAGGAGAAGGGCAAGGTGAGCCCTCGCATTGAGCAGCTGGCCCACGGTGGCCGCAGGATGGTGGGGACGCTGGGCCGGCTGGCCTTCCATGGGCTGGTCAAGAAGAAGTACGTGTTCTATGAGCCGGACCTGAAGGTGTTTGGTGTGGACCTTGCTCTGCTGCAGAGCACTGTGTGCAGCTACTTCCTGCAGCGGGAGGAGACCCTGGCCTCCTCGGCAGCCTACTGCTTCACCCACTTGTCTCTGCAGGAGTTCCTGGGGGCTGCGTACTACTACAGTGCATCCAAGAGGGCCATCTTCGACCTCTTCACGGAGGGTGGTGTGTCCTGGCCTCGGCTGGGCTTCCTCACGCATTTCAGGAGCGCGGCCCAGCGGGCCATGCAGGCTGAGGACGGACGGCTGGATGTGTTCCTTCGCTTCCTCTGCGGCCTCTTGTCTCCAAGGGTCAATGACCTACTGGCGGGCTCCCTGTTGGCCCCGGGCGAGCAGCAGGGCTCCCGGGTGCAGGTGGCCCAGTTCCTGCAGGGCAGCCTACAGTCCAGCACGGTGGTCTGTGCCCGGGCAGTCAATGTGCTGCACTGCTTGCACGAGCTGCAGCACACAGAGCTGGCCCGCAGTGTGGAGGAGGCCATGGAGAGCGGGGGCCTGGCCAGGTTGACCGGCCCCCCGCACCGGGCTGCCCTGGCCTATCTCCTGCAGGTGTCAGATGCCTGCGCCCAGGAGGCCAACCTGTCCCTGAGCCTCAGTCAGGGTGTCCTCCAGAGCCTGTTGCCCCAGCTGCTCTACTGCCGGAGCCTGAGGTGGGCACCAGGGTGGTGTGTGCAGGGGTGTTGGCGGAGGAGAGAGGAGAGGCCCTGGAAAGTACTTCCTCTCCACCAGCAGCCTCTGCGTCAGTGTTTGGGGGCTGCTGTAACAAAGGTCCACAGACTGGGTGGCTTAAAGCAATAGAAACGTTTTCTCTCACAGTTCTGGAGGCTGAGTCCAAATTCAAGGCGTTGGCAGGGCTGTGCTCCCTCTGACACCTTCAGGGGAGGATCCTTCCTGCCTCTGTAGCTTGTGGTGTTGCTGGCTACCCTTGGCTTATACATCCATCACTCCAATCTCCGCCTCTGTGGCCACATGGCTATACCCTCTCCGTGTCTGTCTTCACATAGGGCAGCGGTTCTCAACCTGTGGATCACGACCCCTTTGGCGGTCGAATGACCCTTTCCCAGGGGTCGCCTAAGACCATCCTGCATATCAGATATTTACATTACGATTCATAACAGTAGCAACATTACAGTTATGAAGTAGCAACGAAAATAATGTTATGGTTGGGTCACAACATGAGGAACTGTATTTAAAGGGCCAGAAGGTTGAGAACCACCGACATAGGGCTTTCCTCGCTTGTAAGGACATTAGTCCTATGGGATGACAGGCCCACCTCACTCCAGTGTGACCTCATCTTCTCTAATTACGTCTGCCACGGCCCTATTTCCAAATCAGGTCACACTCTTGAGCCACTGGGGGGTTAGAATGCCAACATAGCTTTTGGGGAGACACTATTCAACCCATAACACCCTGTGAACCATCCCAGTGCTGACAGAAGCCACACCCACACTCTCCGCCCTCAGGCCATCTTCTGTCCACTGCTCTGGACTTAATAGGGGCTGGGGGAAGGGCACCAGGGCCAAGGCCATTCAGGACCTGAGAGCAGCTTCCATGTCCTCAGAAGGAGGAGAACTAGCAGCAAGCATCTCCCAGATGCACACGGACAGAAACCCCAGGGCTCATGCCCCTGAGCCTCCCAGTTCACCTTCGTAGGAAAACTGTGAGCTCGGTGGGTGTGCTGTCCTAGGTCTCTGGGCCATGTGGTGGGAGCTACAGTGGAATGGAGAGACGGGGTGGGGGCGGGTATCCTAGCCTGGGTGTCTGAGCTTAGTGCCCCCTCCTGCCTTCCTGTGCTAGCCAGGGACTTCATCCACCCTGCCTATGGGAGGTGGTACCACTCACAATGGCTGTTCCTCCCGACCAGGCTGGACACCAACCAGTTCCAGGACCCCGTGATGGAGCTGCTGGGCAGTGTGCTGAGTGGAAAGGACTGTCACATTCAGAGAATCAGGTAACGCTGACCCAGGAGACTCCGCCCAGGGCACCCACCTGTCTCTCTGGTTCTGAGGGCTCCTTCCCCATCCTCCTTTCTGCTCAACTAGCTGGTGGTACTTTCAAAAAGAGGCGTCTGAAGCATGCTGCAGCTTGTTTCCGCCCATTCCAGAGAGTTCCAGGGCTCAAGTGCTCATCTGTAAGAAGAGGGGAAGGATAGGGTGAGGGGCAGAGGCTGTTTCTCCAAACACTATGTGCACTGACATGGCACAAGGCCCAAACTTCTCACAGTTTGCCCTCAAATAGTGTTCTGGGCACAGGATTCGATCTTTAAATAAAACATAATTTTTAAAAAAATTTAAATTAAAAACGTTAGAGCCTGGTTGTCCTGACATGCCAAGGTTGTGGGTTCAATCCACAGTCAGGGCATATACAAGAATCAACCAATGAATGCATAAATAAGTGGAACAACAAATCTCTCTCTCTCTCTCTCTCTCTCTCTCTCTCTCTCTCTCTCTCTCTCTCTCTCTCCCTTCTTCTCTTTCTTACAAAGCAATAAAAAAAGATTTAAAAATTTAAACATTGCATCTTTAATGTAATTAAAGTTTATTTGCTGACTGCAGGACAGATCTATGTGCTTATAAAATCTCTCCTATAATAATTTCCAAGTTTGAGTAACACTCTTGTTTGTACATGAAATGATTCCATGACCTAAGGGCAACTTTCAGAGAATTAGGGAGGTCGGTTTGGAGAACAGGACCCAAGAATAATTTTTCATTCTCACACAAGGCTTTGGGTTCTGAAATAATTTATATCTGAGGAAATAAAAACGTGGAATGAGTCGGGAGCAAAACAATTATTGAGGACAGTGGTTAGAATAGTAGGCTCCATGTGCTCTCGTACAGACACCTCTGTGCCTAAGGAGGGTAAAATCAGTTCATCAGAGCTGTGAGTGCTTGAAATTGGCCGTGGTGGGAGTATTTACACCATGGAAATTGGCCAATGTTAAAAATCAGGGTTTTTGTATTTTGGTTTTTCCTGAGAGCCAGTTTTCTAGCACACCACTATCTGGGGTCCATGCTGTAGACTTCTGTAACCGCCTACCCTCATTCCTGTGCTATGTAGCAGTTGTTGTGCTAAATTCTGATCAAACTTCCCTGGGACCCTTTGCCAGTATGCCGGTCTGTCTGCCTACTCTAGTCCTACCTTGCTTGGCTCAGAGGCTTTTGTGGGCCTGGCATTCTGTTCCAGGGCTCACCTGATCTCTGCCTCTGTCCTGGCCCTGATGATGCTGGTGAGGCTGAGGGGTTTGGATCATGAGCCTGGAGCTGATATTTATAGACTTGCCATAACCATTCTTCTCCCTCTCCTTGGGCAGCTTGGCTGAGAACCAGATCAGTAACAAGGGGGCCAAAGCTCTGGCCAGATCCCTCCTTGTCAACAGAAGTCTGACTTCTCTAGAGTAAGTACACCACCAAAGGCCAGTCTTTCCCCATAGGGACAGGGAGCACTTGTGAGACATGTTGTGAAGTCCCCTTGACTAGTCTCTCCCATGGGTGGACTGGAAGAATAGCTGAGCAAACAATGTCACAGCTCCTGCTCAGCTATTCAGACTCGCCCAGGAAGCACCAAAATTTCAGGCCTGAACTTGGAGTTATCATTCTCCTCTCCGTCCTTGGCTCAAGTCCACTAGTGTATCAGATCCTATTTTCTTCTGCCCATCACATGGGGCACCTTCAGAAACTCCTTCCTTGTTTGCCTACATAAACATCTCTGTCCCACTTGCACCAAACATGAAATCCTAAACCCTGATACATTCTGTTCAAGAAGCATAGATTTAAAGGTCACTGTAACTTCTGCTCCTCCTTCCCTCCCTGGGCACTGGATGAAAGGGAATGGTTGTTTCTCTCTCCCGCCAGCCTCCGCTGTAACTCTATTGGGCCTCAAGGGGCCAAGGCGTTGGCAGATGCTCTGAAGATTAATCGCACCCTGGCCTCTCTGAGGTACGTGTTACCTGCTTACCCTTGAAAACTTTCCCTTCAGGTGCCACCTATGGAGTAGGAGGTGATTGAAAATGTGGGCATCAGACATCAGCTCCGACCCAGGGGGTACCACAGGATCTTGTATCCTAAGCAAGTTTCCAAGTTCCAGCTCCTCCCTGGTTATTGTGCTTGTGTTTATGGCCTGAGCAAGGAATAGAGGAGAAGGGTAGAGATATGTAGAGGTGGAGGAGCAAAATAATCTATGAGGAAAACCTCTTGTCCTCCATTGAATGAGAAATCCCCAAGATCATGGTGCCAGAATGTCCCCCTGAGATGTTTTCCAAGACATTGAAAGCCCATCTTTCTGAAGATTCTTATAGTTTGGTGTGGTTTGCTATGCTCCTTTTAGGAGCCAGTGGTTGTATCCATCCTAAGTTGAATGTGTACCACCATTTTGTTTTTATTTATTTGTTTGTTTGTTTATGCTTCAGTTATAAATTCTAAAATTAAAAATGATAAGACTTGAATTTATCCTAAGAATTCTTTGCTTCTCAGTTGGTGCATCACAATACGGCTTATTTTCTATAAGAACGTTTTTCCTAGGGACTAATTTCAGTGTATTGTGGTCTGTGTAAACACCTTGTATAGTAGATCTTCTGAGTAACAATTCCACATCGGAAACCTTTTTTGTTGTTGTTAATCCTGACCTGAGGATATTTTTTCTCATTGCTTTTCAGAGAGAGCAGAAGGGAGGGAGGGAGAGAAACATCGATGTGAGTGAGACACATCAACCGGTTGCCTCCTGCATATGCCCCAACTAGGGACAGGGAGCTAACCTGCAACCCAGGTACATGCCCTTGATCCAGACTCAAACCAGCACCCCTTTGGAGTGCAGCCTGATGCAACCACTTAGCAACATCGGCCAGGGGGGAACCTATTTTTTATCAGTTTAATGAAGATAGCATTTCGGTGGGCGTCTGAGTTGATTCAGCTGCTCTTGTTTTGACCATGGCTAATCCATGTTCTTTTCACCAGGCAACTTTATGTCTCTTCTATTTTCTTAGGAGAAGCTTCATTTTCTTTACTTTTGAATTCTTCATTTATCTTTATTCTGGCTGTGTGGTTGCCTGACCCATGTCTCTCCTTACCATGGCGGCTACCTATCCCTGTTTTCATTTTCTTATATTGAGGTGAGGTTCCCACAAAATTCACCATTTTGAAGTGTGCAGTTCAATGGCACGTAATACATTCACAATTGTGCAACTGTCACCTCTATCTAGTTCTAAAATATTTTCAGCACCCCAAAAGAAGACCCTGTGCCCATTAGCAGTCACTTCCCATTCTCTCCTCCCTTCAACAATCACCAATCTGCTTTCTGCGCAATGGATTTGCCTATTCTGGATATTTCATATAAATGGAAGCATACAATAAGACCTTTTATGTCTGTCTTCTTTCACTTAAGATGTTTTCAAGGTTCATCCACATTTTAGCATGTATCAGTAGTTCATTCCATTTTCTGGCCAAATAATATTCATCAGTTAATGGACATTTGGGTTGTTTTCAACTTTTGGCCATGTAAATAATGGTGCTGTACACATTTGTGAACAGTATTTGAATAACTGTTTTTAATTCTATTGGGTAGATGCCTAGGACTAGAATCTGCTGGTTACATGGTAACTCTATGTTTAACCTTTTGAGGAACCACAAGTCTGTTTTCTACAGTGGCCACACCATCTTACATTCCCCCCAGCAGTGGATGAGGGTTCCGATTTCTCTACATCCTCGCCAACCCTTGGGTGCTATGACTTTTAGCTGTAATTGGGATTACCGATGACCTAGCTATTGTTATCCAGATACCATGGGCAACTTGTCCCCAGTCAGCAGGCTAGTGCTTAGAGACCCAGAGGGAAACCCAAGTCCAGAGCAGCAGAGGGGAAGGCCAATTGTTGCCCAGTTCCTGTGTGGTGTGCATTGAGGGCATAGAGTGGTTAAAGCCCCTTGTCACTGAGCTTAGTTGCTGCCCTCCCTTGAGCATTGGTGACACTGTGGTGGGATTCAGGCCACCATTGGGTGCCTTTGTGTGCTCCATTGGTGACATGCCTCTTCCTTGCCTCCACAGCCTCCAGAGTAACAGGATCAGGGACGATGGTGCCAAATTCATGGCTGAGGCTTTGGCAGCCAACCGGACGCTCTCCGTGATGCAGTGAGTAGACATGCTGGCCATCAGAAAGTCTCCTTTGTACTCTCTCATCTTCTTCTCCAAGGACCTCTCTGCCTGTGTTTTGCAAGGAGGGATGGATGGGCAAGGCCCTGAGGCTTTCTGACCTGTCTGGATGGCCCCTGGAAAACTTGACGTCCATTGCTTTTCCAGAGAACAGGTGTTGGGCAAAAAATTAAAAATAAAACCTCCTGCCAATCCAGAAAACCCTCTCTACAAATGTGAGGAAGAACAAAACAGCTTTATTATTTGAATAAACACTCAACTGGACTGTAATGTACATCATAAGCAATCTGCTGATGAGATTGCAAAGACAGAAATAAATCACATCCTTTTCCATAGCCAACAGACACAAACCATTACATACATGTTTCCAAGATAAACAACTTGTCCTCAAGTAAGAGAACTGGACAGCAGCGTTTGTCACACACAGTTTATCCTAAATTAGCCTGGTAGTTGGGATAGCCACCTGTGTTTGTTAACTGCCTTTAGCCAAAGGAAAGTTAAAACTTTATATCTTCATGACAAGAAGGCTCTTACAACTTGGAGTCTGTGCTATCTTCCTTGATGTGTACATTTCAAGAGATGACTGGCACTCAGCACTCCGTTGTCTCTGACCTCTCACCTTGGGTCAGAGTATTCTTGGCCTGGGAATAGCAGGGACCAGCTTTGCTAAAGGACCCCTCTCCTCTCTCACAGCCTGCAGAAGAATACCATCGGGCCCATGGGAGCCCAGCACATGGCAGATGCCCTGAAGCAGAACAGGAGTCTGAAGGAGCTCATGTGAGAAATGCAGAAAGGCCAATTGGTATCCCCAGTGTCTAACACAATGCCCAGCTTATCATAAATATTTGTGAGCATGGGGATGGATGGATGGATGGATGGATGGATGGATGGATGGATGGATGGATGGATAGATGGATGGGTGGATGGATGGATGGATGGATGGATGGGTGGATGGATGGACTGGTAGTTGAGTGGATGGATGGGTGGATGGATGAATGGGTAAGTGTGTGAGTGGATGTAGGTGCAGAACAACTGGCTTTGGACCCCAAAGCACTGGACCAGGAGAATGGAGATCCAGGTTCACAGACTGAGTGAGCCACAACTGTCTCAGGCTCACATGTACTGCCTTCTCAGCCAGCAAAAGAAAATGGCATTTCCTAGCCACCTTCACATAACATATCACAAACACCTCTCATTAAAGAGTTGGTCTTGCCTCCTGGCCCCTACTCCCCTGCCAGGGAGCCAAGGACTTTGCTACCTTCATCTCTTACAAGCAGCAGGAGGTCACTTCCAGAGGCCACTGGCCAACCAGCCTCAAGCAGGAGAGACTGTACTGGCACCTTGAGACAACAGAGACAGCCCCTCCTAGACCCTGATCTCTGGGCCCCACCCTGCCCAGCTGCTCCAGGAGGCCGGCTCACCAGTGTCCCGTCTCTTACAGGTTCTCCAGTAACAGCATTGGCGATGGAGGTGCCAAGGCCCTGGCTGAGGCCCTGAAGGTGAACCAGGGCCTGGAGAGTCTGGAGTGAGTCTGCCTGACCACCCTCCAGGGGTGGCTGTGGGCAGAGGGGAACTCCCTTCCCCCCTCGTCCCCCTCAGGTTTCCTATCCAGTAGGTGGGTGGGTCCTGGAGGAGGGCTGTCAGTCAGGGCCACTTCCCTGCCAGAACCCAACCAACCCCCAACCCTGGGCATGCTATGATCTCAGTGTCTCTCCCTCCATGCCTACCCCACCTGTTTCACCCTACCACACCAGCTCCACTTCCCTGGACAGTAGGGGTTGGTGTTTTCAGGGTGACAACAAGCACTGAAAGCCCTTTAGAAGTTAGTGCAGGTAGCTAAAGAAAGGGTCAGCCGCAGTGGCCTTGGGCGGGGTGGGGGGGAGCTTGGCAATGCTCTCACATTGGGGAGACTCAACTGTGCCCTGGGGGCTGCAGACACAGTGCATGCCCCATCTCTGAGGCCATTTGGAGCCACCAAAACCAAAGCAGAGTCAAACTCTGGGGCTGGTTGTGCTATACCCACCTGCCCTGACCTAGCTGGGGCTGGACTGTGAGGGATGAGAGAGGAAAGAGGGATGATGAAAAAAAAACAATGTGGTGTGGCACCTGCCTCAGGTGTCCCCCAACTCCCTGTCGAGCTTAGTGTTTCAGCTGGACTGATGGCTCCCTCCGAGTCCTGAGACGGCCACGCCAAATGTGCCCTCTCTTCTGTCTTCAGCCTGCAGAGCAATTCCATCAGTGACACCGGAGTGGCAGCGCTGATGGGGGCCCTCTGCGCCAACCGAGCCCTCCTCAGCCTCAAGTAAGTCCCAGGCTCCCTCTCCAACCAGGTATCCCTTTGGTCAGGGGGTCCAAAGGGACTTGGAAGAAAAGGCTGGAGCTGGGAAGCCCACATTACCCCCGTGACGACCTCTGGTTGGGCAGCTTGGTTCTGGGGCTGGCATCCTGCACTCTACCTTGCTCTTGGGAGGGCAGGGGCAGCGGTGGCCCCCAGCTGGCCAGCTCTGCTGCTCCCTGCCCATATACACATCCTTTAGGCACCCAAGCACCCATGCTTGCCCCTCACAGCTCTGAGGTCCCACTGTCTTATCCTCTTCCTCCTAGACTGTCCTACTGGTAGGTCCTAAAGGGGAGACACTTGGCTGCCTAGCCACCAGAACCTGGGCTCGCTGGAGGCACACACCACATGCTCGCTCAGGAAGTCCGGGTCCCACATGAGGTTTCTCTGGTTCTAAAAGCCTGAACACCTGGGCTTGTCTCCCCCAGAGACCTCATCTGCCTGGTCAGCAGCTCAGGGTCTTCTCTTTCTTCAGCCTTCGAGAAAACTCCATCAGCCCAGAGGGAGCCCAGGAACTGGCTCGAGCTCTCTGCACCAACAGCACCCTGAAGAACCTGGAGTACGTGAGGGGGCGGGGAGGGCGGGGAGGGCTGTGCTTCCTAAGGCTCCTTTATGCCAGGGCCCCACCTATGCAAAGCCCAGAGACTGATGGGCCAGGCCCTGGTCACTCTTGCCATTATGAAAGGTTGAAGAAGGACCTGGCTGGGAGGAGGTAGCCAGGAGACCTGACCCCTGGTGGCGACTCAGACACAAGTCCCCCACGGTCCTGTCATAAATTACATGAGGATGAAGTAGTGGCAACTCTCTGGCCCTCGGCCCTTTGCTATGGACGAGCATGTGGAAGGGGCCACGTCACGGGGGCAGCACAGTACAGGAATCAGGAGTGAGTCCTCTGCCACCTCCTGGTGCGTGACCTGTCATGGAACCTCACTGAGCTGAGCTTCGGCCCACTCCCCCTGGGGGTGTCAGATTTGTTACAACCAACCAGGGCACGTGCCTGGCACATGCAAGTGCTCCATAGGCGTGAGCTAGGCTATCCTAGTGGGCACAATGCAGTCCTTGGGTTGGGGGAGGGTGGTCTGGATTCCCTGGGGAGTAAGGACAGGGGACATCATGGTCGGCTTCTGCTCACTTGCCCCTGTTCCTCTCCTCCCAGCTTGACAGCCAACCTCCTCCATGACCAGGGTGCCCAGGCCATCGCAATGGCAGTGAGAGAAAACCACACCCTCATGTCCCTTCAGTGAGTCCTCGGGGCCCCTACCTACCCCGTCCCCTGCCCAGAGCTGCAGGGCTCCCCCAAACCAGTTGATGCAGGAGACCAAGTCCAGCTCTGGGGATCTCCCACATGGTCTCTGGGACCTCCAGCAGGCTGCAGGTGGTCACTTGCAGGGCCATCAGCCCTGCCCCCTGCTCTACTTCCTGAGATTGTTCCACGGAGAGACCAATGGGGTTGGAGGTGGGTAACCACCGCAGGGACCATCTGGAGTCTTTATTTGAGCCTGTCCCTGTACCCACCCTTAACCAGAGAGTAAATGTTGACTCCTTGGGACTAAGGCTGAGAAAGGTTGCAGGAGTTCTGCCCATCAGCGGTCCCTCTAGAACACACCCCGCAGGGACTCCATCCCCTGGCGTCAGATTCTCCTGGGAGAAGCCCGCTCTTTCTGGAGCCCAGGACCTCCTGGACTCTGCCTTGGGCCACGTAGTCATGTGCTCCGTGTCTGCCTAGCCTGCAGTGGAACTTCATCCAGGCCGGCGCCGCCAAGGCCCTGGGACAAGCACTACAGTTCAACAAGAGCCTGATCAGCCTCGAGTAAGTGGGGATTCCACGGGGCAGGGGCATCTGAAGCCTCAGGGCCCACCAAGCACAGGGCTCACGCCCTCAGCACACAGCCTCCTCTGTCCTAAGGCCAGCAGGCATGTTTCCATCCTCATCTGCTTTAAAAAACATATAATAGCTTTATTGAGGTATATAATTCTCTGGTTTCTAGTCTATTCACAGTTGTGCAACACAACAACTAAATTTAGAACATTTCTATCACCCTCTAAGAAAACCCAGATCCATCAGTGGTCACTTCCCCTTCTGCCCTATCCCGGGCAGCCACTAATTTATTCTCTCTATGGATTTACCTATTTGTGACATTTCTATAAGTGAAATGATACAATATGTGGTCTTTCATGACTGGAAACTTTCATTTAATATGTTTTCAAGATTCATCCACATTGTGGAATGTGTCAGCACTTCATTCCTTTTCATGGCTGAATAGTATTTCACTGTATGGATAAGACTTTCATCTGTTGCTGGACATTTGGGTTGTTTCCACGTTTTGGTTATTATGAATAACGCTGCTGTGAACATCCATGTAGATGTTTCTGTGTATGCTTTCAGTCCTCTTGTGTATACATCTGGGAATGGAATTGCTGGGTCAAATGGTAACCTTTTGAGTTTCATCTCCTTTTGACGCTGACTACTTCTCTCTCAGCTTCCAGGATATCCCATCTCTGGCTAGTTCTGTTTGACTCTGAAATACTTGTGTTCCTCAGGGTTCTGTCCCAGGCCACCTTCCCTTGAAGGTGCTCTCTCTCTTCTGGAAGCTCTCCTCCTCTCCCAGGCTTTCAAGTCCTTATGGCCCCACAGCTATATCGCAGACCTCTCTCCGGAGCTCCAGACCCGTGTATCTACTGCCCATTCCGCACCTCCCTTTGGGGGTCTCAGTGGTACTTTAGATTGCCTGAATGATCCCCCCCACAAGCCTGCTTCTTGGTTCCCCATCTTATGACTAGAACCAGCCAACCAACTGTGAAAAGTAGAAACATCACCCTTGCCCTTTTCCAAGTCCTACTGGTTCATTTCCAAGTCCTGTCGATTCTCTTCCCAGTGTCCCACCCCCATGGCCACTGTCCAGGCACCAGCATCACTCACCTGCATCACTGCAGCAGCCTCCACACCCAGTCCATCCACGGCTAGCCAGGATCTTTTCAAAATGCAAATCTGTCCCTGTCCTGGTGAGATGTTTCAATGGCTGCCCAGGGCCTGCAGAGTGAAGTCCAACCTTTAGCATGGCTTCTAGGGCCCCCAAACATCTGCTTCCTTACTGTTTCCTCAGCCTCGTTTCACTCTCGAGAGACTTGACTCAATGTCGTTGGGTTCTTTAGATATGCTAGGCCCCCTCCCCATCTCTTATCCTTTGGGTTTTGGTTTAGACCAGCGGTTCTCAACCTGTGGGTCGCGATCCCTTTGGGGGTCAAACGACCCGTTCACAGGGGTCGCCTAAGACCATCCTGCATATCAGATATTTACATTACGATTCATAACAGTAGCAACATTACAGTTATGAAGTAGCAACGAAAATAATGTTATGGTTGGGTCACAACATGAGAAACTGTATTTAAAGGGCCAGAAGGTTGAGAACCACTGGTTTCGACCTATTTCTCTTGGCAGCCTCTGGGACCACACTGCAGCCTGCTCTTAGCCTATAGTGACTGCTCATTTAATCATGTCTCCTCACCTGAGTTCCAAAAAGGCGGAATTGGCCTTGCTAGTGCACACTATACACACAAGCGTCTGTTAAATTATTACTGCAGCTAGCAAGAATGGCCTGGGGACAGAGGGCCTTCAGTGTTCTAATTGGCTTCGAAAAGCACACTTTATCTCACGCATTTGTTGGCAATGCTTCCATGTGTCCCTTTTCTTGTTTGCTTTTGATGGTCCAGACCCCAGGTCCCTCTGCATGTTAATTAGGAGGCCATGGGGTGACCCTGGGAGTATAGTCTACAATGTGTGTGGTCTGAATTAGGTAGAAGGTCCAAGCTCAGCACGTCATGCTAGAGAGCTGGCCCAGGCTCACTCTCTGTGTTCAGTTTACAGGAGAACGCCATCGGGGACGAAGGCGCCTGTGCAGTGGCCAGTGCGCTGAAGGCAAACACAGCCCTCACTGCTCTCTAGTAAGTCCTGATGCGCACAGCAGTCCAGGAAGCTAGCCCTTCACCATCCTTTCATATGGAAAACCATTTTTTGTTTCCCAGTCTAGGAAGCTGGGTTTGATTTTCCTAATATCAGCAACCAGGCAGGAGAAGGGATGCCCAGCGCATTCTTGCTCCTGCAGTTGTAACAAGATTTAGGGGTACAGGCAGTGTTCTGCAAACTCTCCAGGAGACTACCTCTATTTCCTGTATCCATAGTACCTAGATATGTCCCAAGCACAAACAGTGCAGGGAGGATATGCAGTATCCTTTGGACAGACCACAGCCAATTTTTAGTGCTATTTTGTCATTTTCGACCCTAAGTCAAGGGTGGTGAAAATGAGGGTGCCTATGAATGGAAGCTGGGCCCCGGGCAGCTATGAGGGCTGGAGAGCCCAGCCTGTCTGGCCTGACTACGTTGACAGCATTTCCTCTTAGTCTCCAGGTGGCCTCCATTGGTGCGCCGGGGGCTCAGGCACTGGGGGAGGCCCTGGCTGTGAACAGAACCTTGGAGATTCTCGAGTAAGTATTCCAGCCTCTGGCCAAAGTCTCTTGCCCAAAGAAAACAAACTGTTGATTCAAATGAATAGATATGGAGGAGAAAAAAAATATCAATTTATAAGAAATTCACAAAGCAATTAAATATCAAGCACGCCCAGCTTCCCCATTCCTCCTTCACCCTTCTCCCTGGGAGTCACTATTGTTGGGCCTCCTTTTCTTGAGTACCTGCTTTTCTTGGTCTTGCCCGGGCTGAACATGTCCCAAGATCTTCTTTAGGGGTCCCTGGGGTGGTCTGTGTCCACTGACCATCTTGGTCTTTGAGATCCAGGAGTTTGCGGCCTCAAGCTCTGTGGGGCTTTCAGGCATGTCCAGGTCACCCCTGCTCCCGGGGTTCTATGATGCTGAGCAGACAGGGACTGCTGGATGGAGTGCTGCCTCTCCTGTCAGCCCAGCTCTTCCTTGGGAATGTAAAAGGAGAATGAAGGCACCAACACACCACCCAGGTTGGGCTGGCTCACCCCTCCTGTGTGTCCTGCTTGCTCCCCAAAGCCAAACTCCGTTTTGGCTTGAGAGTAAGGAAGGAGCAACCTAACTCCCCATGGTTGCGGAGTCCACACTGCCTCTCACCAGTAGCCCATACTCACCTGAAGAAATAGCATTTTCACCTCTCAGCCAGCACGGTGCCTTACACGGCCTGTCTTTTCTTTATTTTTAAACCCTCACCCAAGGATATCTCCCTCCTCCCCTCCCCATTGATTTTTAGAAAGTGGGAGGGAGTGGGAAAAGGGAGAGAGGTGAGAGAGAGGGAGAAACATTGATGTGAAAGAGACACATCGATTGGTTGCCTCCCACATGTGCTCCAACTGGGGCCGGGATGAACCTGCAACCCATGTACGTGCCCCTTGATGGGGAATCAAACCTACAACCCTTCAGTGCACAGGCCAATGCTCTAACTATTGAGCACACTGGCCAGGGCCATTGTCTGTCTTTTTTTTTTTTTTTAACAGTTTAAGAGGAAACGCCATTGGGGTGGCTGGAGCCAAAGCCCTGGCAAATGCTCTGAAGGTCAACTCAAGCCTCCGAAGACTCAAGTAAGTGGTTGCTGAGCCCTATCTGCACCCCAGAGCAGAGGACTTCTATGCTGGAACCTCCCCAGGGGATAAGATGCTCTTGATTTCCTCTGTAGCTGCTTCCTTCTGAATAGAAATAGTTCAGACTGTTCTGGTTACTATAGTCTATATTATGGACGAGTTTGGTCATTTTGCCTAGCATAGATCAGAGGTAAATCACTTAACATCAGCATTTTTGGTCTTATACTCTCCATGGCACTAAGACGGTACAACCTGGCTCCTCATAAACTCATCTCAGGATTAAATGCCCACCTTGCTGTTGCTATGGCACCTGTGGAGAAACCAGTGCCAGAACTATCCCACAGGATAATGCAGTGCTGCTTTCAGAGGTGTGTTCTGCCCTGACTGGCTCACTCTGGTGTCTCCATCTTTTCTCTGCCTAGTCTTCAAGAGAATTCCTTGGGGATGGATGGGATGATATGCATTGCCACCGCACTGTCTGGAAACCATGGGATCCAGCATATCAAGTGAGTGGGGTTCGGCAGTCTCTGCCCTTTCCTGCCATTCTCACCCTTAGAACTGTTCCCAGGTCAGGCCCTACCTTCTGCCTCATTTTCAGAGCCAGCGGACTCCCAGGCCCCTCAGCAGCTCTGGGGAAAAACTCAATATAAAAGAAAGCCATTCAGAGCCTTGCCCATGGGAGAGATCCTGGAAGCACAAGGGTTTCACCCAGAGCTCTGCATCTTATGTACTGACCTTCTGCTCTTTACTAAAGAGAAACTGTAGCCTCTAGCCCAGCGGTTCTCAACCTGTGGGTCGCGACCCCTTTGGGGGTCGAATGACCCTTTCACAAGGGTTGCCTAAGACCATCAGAAAACACATATATAATTACATATTGTTTTTGTGATTAATCACTATGCTTTAATTATGTTCAATTTGTAACAATGAAATTGGGGGTCACCACAACATGAGGAACCGTATTAAAGGGTCACGGCATTAGGAAGGTTAAGAACCACTGCTCTAGCCCCTCAGCCAATTTCTCAATTTGTCTGAATCTTTCTCTAGTCTCCAGGGAAATCACATTGGGGAATCAGGTGCCAGAATGATCTCGGAAACTATCAAGACAAATGCTCCCTCGTGCACTGTTGAAATGTGAGCAAAGCAAGTTCCTGGTGGACCGGGCAGGAGGATGGGCAGAGATGCAGCTGGAAGCCTTCAAACAAAAAGACCGTTTTCCAGGGTGATTTCCTGTTATCTGGGAATGATGCTGACCCGCACCAGAGCTGGTAAACTGCAGAGGCAGGAAGGGTGCTGCCAAAGGAGGTCAGGAGCACCTCTTCTGGTCCAGGGTCGTCTAGGCAGGGGTGAGATGGACACTGGTCTGGGACAGAGGAAAGGGTCTTCCACTGAGGGACCCAGGACTTACACCTTAAAGCTCAGCAAGTAAGAAGCTGGCCTGAGTTTATTCATACCTTGAGGTCTTCATGTGCCCCCAACTTTTAAAAAATTATTACTACCTTTTCCCACTCATCTGGTTAAAAGGGAGTGGAAATGAGCTGCCATATTCCAGTGAACTGAGTACCAATTTGGCATTGTTGACAGAGAGGATCTTTCTTTTCTCAAGAAGAAAGTTTTAGGAGTATGATCCTTAGAGACATATGGAAAAAATGTGGGATTTTAAAAAAAGAGAAATAAAGGCTTTAATTATAGAATTCTGGAGACAGAGAAAAATAAACTTTCCCAAAGTTTTTGCCATTTTTTAAATTCCATCACAAAACCTCTCACAGGCATGGAGACATATGTTATTTGGAGTCTGGCACACTAGTTATCTATAGCACGTTCAATAATGTTATTCTTAATAATAATGTTATTATTATTGGGCTTCCCATAATTATTATTACTCGGACGACCTTCCCTCTGAAGGCAAGGCCAGAGCTGAGTTTCATGTGGCATAGATTCCCTCAGATGTCTGTCTGTGCTGAAAGGAAAAGATCCCAAATGGACACCATAGCTCTCATCAATTAAATAACCAAGGGAAATGCTTACAAAGATTATAAAGTAATTATCATTTTAAAATTTGGACAGGAAGCACTATTATTCCTACTACTTCTTTAAAAATGAGTATTCAGGCAAGAATCAATGGATACTAAAACCCTGGATGAAAGCTAATTGAGGAAGAAGATATTCACATAGTCTCAAAACATCACCCACAGTTATCTAAAAGGTATCTTACAGAAATTTTACAAATGTTGCCTTAACAAAGTGATTAAACTTAATGTCACCAATAATGGGACAAATGGACATCAGGGGCCCTGATGTGATGCACTGAGAAGGACATATTGCTGATGTAGTATTTTTGCCAAAAAGGTTTACCTGAATCTAATCACGAAGGAATAATCCGACAAAATCAGAATTGAGGAGCATTCTGCAAAAAAAGAAAAAAATAGCCTGACCTCTTAAAAAAAGTCAATGTCATGAAAAATAAAAAAGACTTGGGACTGTTTTAAATTGAAGAAGATTCAAGAGACATAACAACTTAAGATCTTTGACTGGATCCTAAACTGGAGGGGGAAAAGCCAGCCATAAAGAACATTATTTGGAAACTGGGGACATTTGAACATGGGTCATGTGTAGTATTTATTGGATTACTCTTTTAAAAAGATATTTTTGCTGGGTATTGACAGTTTTTTCTTTCAGTACTTTCAAGATGTTATATACTGTTTTTTGGTTTGCACTGTTTCTGGCTGAATTGAGAACTCATCAGAACAAGAGTTGCAGTAGCTAAATGTTGAAGCAAACTGTGCTATGCAGGAACCTAGTTCTAGAGAAACTTCAGGGGCCGAAGCAGTGGAGAAAGAGAGTGCTCTTCATGGACTTCAAGAGCAAGCCACACTATAATTGGAAGGAAAGCCCTGACTTTCTCCAAAGTCTCTCAAGCACCCTCTACTGGCAACACTTAACATCTTGCTGGCTGATAAAGGAGAGATATTACAAAAATTGGCACGGTTACAACAGAGCAGGCCAAAAGGTGAATTTGGAGCTGAGGCAATAAATTGATACTAGCACAGTGGGATGTCCTGTTTTTCATTCTGGACAGTTCCTATTGCTATGTCTTCAGGATCAGTAATGTTGTCTTCTGCAGTGTCTGACTGCTCTTAATCTCTGTTTGGTTTCATCTCATTTTGTTACTCTCTGGAAGTTCTGTTTGAGGCTTACTTTATATTTTCCGTGTCTGTCCTTAATATACATGCTTTCCTCTACCACCTGAATATACGGAATATAGTTATAACTGTTAAGAATGTTCTTTTCTACTAATTCTATCAGCTATCATTTATGGGTTATTTCTTGATTTTTCTCATTATGCCTGATAATTTTTTTACAGTGAAAAAAAATTTATATTTAGAACTAGAGGCCTGATGCATGAAATTCATGCATGGGTAGAGTCCCTAGGCCTGGCCGGCAATCAGAGCCAATCTGTGGGACCACTGGTGGGGTGATCAGGGGCCCCTGCTGGCACCTGCCTTGGCTGGCCTGGGGCCTGTAGGCTGGGGGCAGCTCCTGCATTGAGCATCTGCCCCCTGGTGGTCAGTGCATGTCATAGCGACTGGTCGTTCCACTGGTCATTCCGCCGTTTGGTTGATTTGCATATTAGACTTTTATTATATAGGATTAGGGAGCTGGACTCAGTTTAGGTGATCTCAATTTTGTTGGCAACACCCAAAGCCAGGAGCCAGTCAAACATATGCCTTCTTCCCTCCATCAGGCCCAATCAGGTGTTGACCTTGGCACGTCAATGTCATAGAGCCTCTTCACAGCCTGTTGGATCTGGTGCTTGCTGACATTGATGTCCACAGTGAACACAGTGTATTGTCGTCTTCAATCTCCTTCATGATTGGCTCCATAGTAAGAACTTGATGACCACATAGCGGTCAAGCCTGTTTCTCCTCAGGGTGCTCTTCCGAGGATATCTGGCTGCCTTTGGAGCCGCAGTGTCTTCATGCCTGGAAATTTTTTTATTGAACACCAGAAATTGGGATTTTATCTTTCTAGGTGCTGGTTTTATATTTCTTAAAATATTCTTGAGCTTTATTCTGGTGCACAATTACTTAGAAACACCTGGATCCTTTCAAAATTTGCTTTTAAGCTTTGTTAGCCAGAGTCAGCCATCCTTCATTCTAGGGTTACTTTGGCCCATCTTCTGAGGAAATGCCTCAATATTATAGGTACTCTACCTAATGCCCAAGTCAAGAAAACAGTTTCTATAGTGTCTACAATAGACACTATAGAAATCCAGGTGTAAAAAATTGTGAAATCAACCTTAGCCTTCTTACCCCAAATAGTAGCTTCTACACAATTGGCTTTCTAGTAGGTATGTTTTCAATATAAAGTATGAATTTAAGCAGAATGGCTCCTAATGTAGACTTCGCTGCACAAATTTTTCTCTCTCTCTCTGATTCAACTCCTCCCATTTCACAAGCTAGTTTCTTTCAGCTAAAAAACATGTTTCCTCACATACATACAAACAGAAAACAAAATAAAATCCAGAATCAAAAGCCTCTAAATTGTACAAATGATTAATAGTCCGACACTGATTCCTAAAACAATTCCTTGTGTGCAGTCCTCCAAAATGTTCTTTGACCTTGCTTTTCTCGCCCAGCTCTGTCTTCTCTTTTCACTATGATCATCGCTTTCTGAACAGTCATCAGTACTCACTGTGTTGGCTTTAAAATCCAACCTCTCCTGCTATCTCACTTCTCCTGGCTGAAGCCCCTGATTTCCTAATTTCCAAAGTCCACTATTTATTGCTTAATCATTTTAGAGAATATCTATTGACTTTCTATTATGGGAATGGCACTTATACATACATCACCTTATGCCCCCACTTTTTCTTCCTCCTTCCAACATAGTTATAGTATGATTTGGGGTTGAATCATTATTTAGTGTTTATCTTATGACTTTATTAGTATGGATCACTGCTAAGCCATTTTCTTCCTATGTCATTGTTCTTTCTAGAATTAACAGTTGTATTATTTTTTAAATTTAATGAATTTTCTATGTCACTATTGCTTAATTCTTTTCCAAACTGTCCAAGAGAAGTGTAAAATCTGAATACTATCTCTCACAGACACACTGGTTATTCCATTTTCCCCTAATGACACACCTTCTTGAACCCTTTGTTTTCCGCTCCAGTCACATCCTTATTGAAAGGACTTCTGTTCTGGGTAGGAGGCAGACCTTTTAGTTCCCTTCCAATTCAACCAGTCCTGGAGTCCAGCACCCAAGAGCTCCCCTGGGCTAATCTAACAGCTGTGATATTTATGTAGTACTAGAGGCCCGGTGCACAAAAATTTGTGCACTTGGGGGGCGTCCCTCAGCCTGGCCTGTGCCCTCTCACAGACTGGGACCCCTCGGGGGATGTCCACCTGCTGGCTTAGGCCCGCTCCCCGGGAGACTGGGCCTAAAATGGCAGTCAGACATCCCTCTGGCAGCCCGGGAGCCCTCGGGGGATGTCCACTTGCCAGCGGGGAGCAGGCCTAAGCTGCAGTCGGACATCCTTAGCGCTGCTGAGAAGGCGGGAGAGGCTCCCACCACCACCGCTGTACTGGCAGCCATCAGCCTGCTTGTGGCTGAGCATGGCTCCCTCTGTGGGAGCACACTGACCACCAGGGGGCAGCTCCTGCATTGAGCATCTGCCCCCTGGTGGTCAGTGTGTGTCATAGTGACCAAGCATTCCCAGTCGTTCTGCTGTTAGGGTCAGTTTGCATATTATCCTTTTATTATATAGGATAGAGGCCTGGTGCATGGGTGGGGGCCGGCTGTTTGCCCTGAAGGGTGTCCCAGATCAGGGTGGGGGTCCCGCTTGGGTGCCTGGCCAGCCTGGGTGAGGGGCTGATGGCTGTTTTCAGGCTGCTTGCACCCCCTTTAAGGTGGGGGTCCCCAATGGGGTGCCTGGCCAGCCTGGGTGAGGGGCTGAGGGCCATTTTCAGGCTGGCCAAGCCACCTCGGCGACGGAAGCTCCCGGCCTCTACTTTTTTTATTTTTTATTCTGGGATTTATTTACCTTCTATAATTGAAACTTTGTTGCCTTTTGTGGAGGCTACAGCCAGCAGAGGAAAGAGCAATCAAGCCTCCTGCTCACTCCAGCTCTGTGGCCACGGCCAGCTGAAAGCAGGTATCTGGGGTTTATTTACCTTCTATAATTGAAACTTTGTTGCTTTAAGTGGAGCTGAGAGCTGCCCCGGCAGCTTGGCTTCCTCCATCATTGGGGCAACCAAGCCTCCTGCTTGCTCCAGTTCCGTGGCTGCCGGCCACCATCTTGGTTGGGTTAATTTGCATATAGTCACTCTGATTGGCTGGTGGGTGTGGCTTAAGACGTAGTGAAGGTATGGTCAATTTGCATGTTTGTCTTTTATTAGTGTAGATGTTGCTAACCAAAGAGACACATCTTCCTTTCAGATGTTTGGTACTGATATTACCATTTAAAATGCTAGTGAAAGATATCTTGCATTTATTTCTTCCTGTCCCAGCTAAAAGAGAAACAGTTCTTCTGATTTCCTAGAGGAAGTCTTCGTACTTTGTTCTTAATGGCTACTACCAATAAAAATTGAGAACTTAAAAAATTCCTTTATATTTTATGTCAATACACATATTTTAAAGCATTTTAAGAGATCCTTTAATTATACAGTAAAAAACAAAAACCCACCGCAGACAGCAATGACCTAGGTCAGCCGTGGGCAAACTACGGCCCGTGGAGCCGAAAGAGCAGAGGGTTCTCTTGCTCTCCCCTCCGCTCCTTCACCAGCAGCAGTGTTAACATGGCAATGTCGGGAAACATGGCCGCAGCTCCTTCTTCTGGGTCCCGTTTAAGAACCCATTGTGGCCCTCGAGTCAAAAAGTTTGCCCACCCCTGACATAGGTGCTAGTTTTTCAGAGACCTAATCGCTCGAGCTTCTGTGGGGCCTGAGTCTGCTCTGCTGTATAACTAAAACCAAATGACACTAGGTCATAAGGCATTTGCACATATCTGACTCCTGGATCCATAACAGTGACAGAAATACATTAATAACATGATCGACTACTTGTAACTCCTTTGTTGACAGAAGCTACTGAAGAAAGTGCCATACCATAGTGAGAGCCTGTACAAATTCAATTAACCAAGGGATGAAGGATGACCAAGAAGAAGTGAAAGAATGAATCACCCATTACAGTCATTACCTCTATCTGTGGACATTTTATCAGTAGCTTGGGTAGGACTCCCAAGCTAATGCCCATTAGAAGAAAGCATCACATACGGAAAATAGAAACACATTTTTAGTTTTTTTCAAAATCTAAGTCAGGTCAGACTCAGATGAACCAAAGCTATGACATCCAAGAAGATGCAGTGACTTTCCCTAGCTGGTTTGGTTCAATTGGTAGAGCGTCAGCCTGCGGACTGAAATGTCCCAGGTTTGATTCTGGTCAAGGACACATGTCCGGGTTGGAGGCTCGATCCCCTGTAGGGGGCGTGCAGGAGGCAGCCAATCAATGTTTCTCTCATCACTGATGTTTCTCTCTCTCTCTCTCTCTCTCTCCCTCTCCCTTCTCTCTGAAATCAATAAAATAAAAAAAAAAGATGCAGTGACTTTTTTGCACCTTAGGGATCATGGCACCTGAGGTGGTTAGCAAGGCTTCCAATACACCTATTTCCCATTTAGCTTATTGTTTCAAAAATGGCACCTCTCGCCCTAACCGGTTTGGCTCAGTGGATAGAGCGTTGGCCTGCGGACTGAAGGGTCCCAGGTTCAATTCAGGTCAACGGCATGTACCTTGGTTGCAGGCACATCCCCTGTGGGAGGTCTGCAGGAGGCAGCTGATCGATGTTTCTCTCCCATCAATGTTTCTGACTCTCTATCCCTCTCCCTTCCTCTCTGTAAAAAATCAATAAAGTATTTTTTTTTTTAAATGGCACCTCTTACCCAGCTGGCATAACTCAGTGGTTGAGCATCGACCTATAAAACCAGGAGGTCACAGTTCAATTCCTGGTCGGAGCACATGCCCGGGTTGTGGGCTCAATCCCCAATAGGAGGC